ACATAACAAGTGAAATCTGTGAAATCCAGTTTAATTAAGAAAATATAAAATTTCAGTCAACATAAACTTACTACAAAATCAGGCAATGCTGATCAGATTATTTTTAATCATTCAATATTTTTGTATCCTCAAATAACTTGCAAAACTTTTCACAAATTCAAACTATGAATTTAAATCAAATTTTTGAGCCCCCCCCCCAGTGGCACAGCGGTATGTCTGTGCACTTACGACGCTAGAAACCGGGTTTCGATACCTGTGGGGGGAAGAGCACAGATAGCCCATTGTGTAGCTTTGTGCTTAACTTTAAAACAAACAAATTTGTGGTTGTATCAAAATACACTTTTTTTTGCATCTTCCTGAGACATACTTATCACTTTGTATTTAAGCACAAACTACACAATGAGCTATACGTGCTCTTCCCACCACAGGCATCGAAACCCAATTTTTATCTTTATAAGCCCACAGACTTACGTTTGAGCCTCCGGGGCATTGTTTATCAGAAATTAAATTAAATGTGCTTGATTTAAATATGTTAGTATACGAGAAATTGTTTGTTTTTTGCATTTTTCCCCTTTTCATCGCTTGATACATTTACTTATCTTACTGAATAACTTTTTATTTGTAACAAACATCAGTCAAACGCTCCCCAAATTATTTTTTCGACAGTGAACCAGGTTTATTTCAGATATATATTTTTCTGTCTAGTAATGAACACCAGTGTGTAAAATGTTGAGTTTCCATATGCATTTGATTATTACTATATTAGCTCTCATAAAAGTTTTTGAAAAAATTGTAGAATGCAAATAATAATACAGAACAATAAAAAATAAAACGGTGGTATAGGAAGATAATAGCGATGGATCACGCATTTTCTTGTCCGCTTTGATGATCAAAGGATATGTTCTAGGCCTACAACAAAAGTTAAAGTAACACAATTCGCAAATATTTTATTGCTGGAAAATAAAGAGAGTTCCCTTTGCCTCAGTTGTGATGTCATTAGGATCACAATTTCACCACCACATATTGCCTAGTATTGAGAGTTGTGAGGGCTTACATCAAACTAACAAATGAGAAAAAAAAATAAAGCATTCTAGAGAAAAATTCTGAAATTTCAAGCACCGAACAAACTTATTTGCCAATATTTTGAACATTTGCTCTGTCATGTATAAGTGAATTGATTCAGTAGCTGAGATAACTTGAGCTCTATTTTCGAACATTATTTTTACTTTATTTAATCTTTTAAAAACTATTAAAACATATACAATATACCCCTGTTTAATAGCTATGAAGTCATTTTTGTCTTTTAGAAAGCTGTTATATTTTATCACATAAGTGTATTGAATTCGAGTTAGCTGCGTATGAATGAACTGCCATCTTTCTCTCTTCACATCCGCACGATAGGGTTTCTCGTGTAAATTGAAATGGTAAGTGTATAAATCGCATTTAATCTAATTTGAAAACTTAAAAACCAACATTATATTTGTCGTAAATTAACAAACAGTTACCTCTGCTTTCTAAGTAAGTTCATAATTAATAGATTATTAAAGTTCTGTACCAAAAAGGAACTATTATGATCAGGTACTGAGTGTTATCATTACTGATAATATTTAAACCACAGACCTGGTAACACAAGTTCTAAAAGTAAAACGTAAATATATCATTCAATTCTTTCGTAAACTGTTATATACAGTATAGTAGCATTGAAAACTTTCTTATTTCTGAGCTGTAAGGTTTTCTTTTGAAAATATCAAACTAAAACGTTACCTAATTTTAAGCTTTTACTTTTTTTTTGGCTATAAGTATAACGGTTAGGCCTAAATTTGATGTTAACTTAAAACTCAGTAAAATATTGGAGCATTTCCCGTTATTATTATTTTCAATTATTCCGACTATCCAAGTCTCATGTGATAGTAATCGATTAGTTAAATATGATCGATCAATAAGCCCAGTGATTAATTGCTTAGCATATTATTGTAATCGCCGAGCTGTAGTATCAGTTTCTGAGTTTCTCTCACCGAACCCGTCTTATTTTCCCCAGTCTCTAACAAAGTGATTTTCTAAGCTGCACTGTATGGTATTTATCAGAAGCATTTTGAAAATAATAGTGTACCAAATCCAAACCCTTTCTATCATCCAGATAAAAAGTAACTTAATAGTAATAAAAAAAAGTCAGAAGGTTAGTAAGGCAAGATTTCCGTGTACTGTGTAGTAATTAGAATTTAGATTTTATTACATTGAGTTGTAGCAGAAAGAATGAGTAGTTTACAAGTGTGTGATATTGTATTTTGTAAGGGAACAATAAAGTGTTTTTGAGGTCAAGATCTCGGAAGTAGGACCCATGTAGAGGTACAAACATACTATCAGATTTAACCTTTTTGTGAGCTATACATGAATCAGTATATAATTTATGCTTAAGAATATAATTAAAATATTAAAATTTTGATGCTCTAATATTCTAAAAGCTGTATCAACAGCAACTAAAGCCTCAAGTGAAAAGAATGAAATATGCTTTTGGAAAACTTAACTGCCCAAAGTATGAACTGTTTTGATATACTTTTGCAGAGTTTTTGTGCTAAGCATATGTTTAACTTACAAGAGAAATGTGTTTAATTGAATCTATTTCAGTTTAAAAGTTCTAAAGTATAGAGATGTTTCAATATATATATATCATGTACACATTGTTTACAAATATATTAAATGAAATGCAGGTATTATAATTATGTTTTTAATTAATAAAGTAGAATGTATATATATATGTATGTGTTTGAAAGATTTTTACCATTAGGACAGATTTTCAGGGTCATGATTTGCCAGTATTAGTGGGTAGTGGGCTTGAGACTAAAACATTTTAACTATAAATAAAAACACCAGTTAACTGCATCAGTGCTTACCAAGGGCAGAACTTGGTGTAATTACATACATTTTTTTTCTTTCGGAAAATTGAATTGCATCCATGATTTGTTAAATATCCTTAAATTATTTTGTTGCTTTTATATAGACGATTTGTTAGCTTAATACAAGTTTGTAAAAATGAGCATTAAGTGTCGATATGAATGTTTGTCCTCAGGCCAAAAGGACAAAAAAGGTTGGCGTTGTGGGAAAGTATGGAACCCGTTATGGTGCCTCTCTTCGGAAAATGGTGAAAAAAATTGAAATAACACAGCATTCCAAGTACACATGTACATTTTGTGGAAAGGTAAGTGAAATTATTAAGACTGTTATAAGATGATGTTCTCTGTGTTTCGTATGTTACACATAAGTATTGCATATTTTGTTGTAATTTGTAGCTTCCATGTACTTGATATTCAAACACATAGGTTGATTTTTAGTTTGACTCTGATCGGAAGTTATTATTATATTGGAATACCACACTCCACTAGGACTTTGTATTTCTTCTGTTATATTTATTAAGCATACTTAGGCACATTGTTGAAATAATCTAAATGAGGTAAAAAAAATACTCATCAATTAAAAAATTTAAAGTTCTTTCCACCAAAATTAATAGTTGTTTTTCTGTGTGTGTGTGTTAAAATTGATAAATACTGGGTTATCCTTTAAAAGTAATACTAACAATGGAAGTGAAGGGGACTACTAGTAGCTAGAAATACGATTAATTAACCCATGTACGTGTCCTGATTTTATACAGAGTGACGTTCAACACATGAATTTATCAGCTTCATCAGTTTGTTTTGCAACAGTTCATGTTAAAATAGAGAAAATACTAGATACAATATACAAATATACTGAAAACAAAAACAAGATATGCAATGAGGAGGCTATAGAGGTTATGAAAATTCAATTTACAAACTGTACAGTGGGCAAAAGTATTCTTATTCTTGATATGAACATCAACTTGTCAGAGTCTGAGTCAGACTGACTTCATCATTTCACAGATGATACACCACATAAGTTTGGAATTGCAGACAGTATTACTTTTCCAGTACAGAGTCGGTCCAATGAATCGTCACCTTGCACATTCGATTAATGTAAGATGTGTTATTGAAGTCAGTAACAGTACATTGTAAATAAAGCAATACAAACAACTTAAAATAACTTGTATTTCACTAAAGCCAAGAGATTATGATTTACTAGTGAACTATGACGATCAACATAATTCTTTAGCAATTTTTTTTCTAATGCAATACTGCTTAAATAAACTTTTTTATTTAGAATTTTGTAATAATTTCACAATAGTAAAATAATTTCAGTAGTGAAATATTTATAGTAATAAATGTTATGGTACATTAAGCTTAAATCTAATTGAGTCTGATGTTAAAATGGCTTACAAAAGTAGCTTAAGAAGCTATTAGGTACATACACACA